GAGGTGTGCTGAGGGGAAGAAGGTGCACAAAGGAAAAAGGTCTTGCTGCCAAAGAGCCTGCGGGCTGGATGCTCAGCTGGTAAAACCTGGAGTGGCTCCATGGAGGGCATGATGTGTTGCTAAGGGGTCCGGCTGTCTGTCCTAGCTCCCAGGTTCCTGGGAGAGCTGGAGAAGGGGCTGCTGGAGAAGGTCTCACCCAGGCTGTGCATTTGGTCTGGCCCTTGCATCGTCCCAGTCCTTGGGCACCAAGGTTCTACGCAGTATGGGTTTGCTCCCTATCAAGTGTGGAGAGGGGAAATGGGAGGGAGTAATGTTTGGGGTGCAGCTTTGCCATCAACTGCTTATGCTTGCCATCATGGCATTTGTAATTGCTGAGCTCCAGGGAGACGTGAGTGGGGCTTGGATGCAGTTTGGTGGCAGCACAGGGCTGGGATGTTCACCTTGGGCCCCAGCCCTTACCACAGTGTTTGAATCCACATGTGTGTCCTGGTGTCCCCAACCCCATCGGGAAGGAGCCCGATGGGGACATTCCCTGTGGAGCTCCATGCTGGGCTGTGCTGGGACTTGTTCTGCAGCTGCCCTGACGCCAGTGTGGTGATCACCAGCTGCAAGTGACTCTCCCTTGAAACTAAGCGTTTTGGGTTTTCAAAGGCTCTCTGCACACTTGAAAGTCATGGGACTGAACAAGTGCATTGCAATGAGTGGTGCAGCATTTTGGGGTTTGCAGCATCAGGGGAGAACGACGGTACTTCTGTATCACCTGGGACCAGGGCTGCTGTGCCCAGAGCACAAGGCTGCCTTAAATTCAGACCCCAGGAAAAAAGCCGCTGTAGCCTGTTCTCCCTGGGGAATGAAGTGCCATCAGCATCCCATTGCTGGGGACAAACCTGTCCTGGTGTAACAGGGTCTGTAGTGGTGGGACTGGGCTCTGGTCCTGGGCTGGGTGCTGTGCTCCCCTGGGTTACTCTGGACCCACCTTGGAAAGGACATGAGTAGTTTTGCTTAATGGGAGTTAAAAAGTTAAAAAGCCCTGAAGAACAAAACCAGTCCTAGAGGCACTGATGCTTCAATACATGGTTTTGTATATGAGAAAACATACTCCGTTTACTATTTTGAGGGGCTTTTTTCTGGCTTGAAACTGTTTTATTCCAATACGTTAGTTAATTAAAAAACTGCTCACATCTTCAAAGCCTTCATTTTCCACTCAATCTCCAACAGTTTCCATCTACCTGAAAGAAGTTGGGTTTGTTGTTTTTTCCTCTGTGAAGGAACCAAACCCCAGATCCAGCCCTTCAACACTGATAAACTTGGAGAGCTCTGATCTGCTCCATGCTGCCAGCACGCTGGACACTCACTGCTGCCAGCACTGGGGCCAGGGCCGGGGAAGAAAGAGTTAAAGGTTTACACTGGAAGAGCAGCCCAGCTGCCTGCAGAGGCTTAGATCCCACTCCTCCTTCACCAGGGTTTGATGGGGGGAAAAAGCCAGCTTCAAATTCAAATGCCACTTTCTAGACCGAGAGCAAAATTACAGCCAACTGCCCTGATTCATCCTCTCGGAGAAAACGAGGAGAAGCTGTGTCTGGGCTGGGCAGATTGGTGTTAGTTTCTGTCTTCAGGTTTGCGGCTTTGACTTGCCTGGTTGTGCTCCTGAGGAGCTCCCCTCCCAGCCGGGGGGTACGGGGGCAGCCCAGACCCCCGAGTGATGGGCGCTGGTGAGGCAAGAGACAGCTCTGTCCCCTGTCCCCTATCCCTTGGCAGGTGGCTGTATAAGGGAGGCTGCCTCTGCCACGGGAGCGCTCAGCCCGCACTGGGCGGGACTGGGAGTACTGGGAGCGCTGCCACGGAGGGGTGGGCTGTGGGATGGGGCACGGAGGGAGCGCAGGAGCGCAGTGCTGGATGCGGCTGAGGTAGGTGCCTACCTTCTTCCTAACTCCTTCTTCCCAGGGCAGACCAGCTCCTGTTCCCGGCTGGGCAAGGGATGCTCTGTGCAGCTCCGTCCCTCCGGACACAAACAGGAGGGGAGCAGGGGGATCGTGGGAGGCTGTTTTAGGGAGGCAAGAGTTGCTGTGGCCCCCACGCCGTCGAGGGGACTGTGTCCCAGCAGTTTGGGGCATCGCATCCCACGGAGGTGGTTGAGGCAGGGAGTGAGGAGCAGAAGCAGCCGGCGGCAGGGAGCCGTGGGCAGCCTGCGCTGTGTCCCCATCTGGGGGTCGCTCACCGACAGCTCTGCCACATCATTTACTCCTGTCCGGCTCAAAGGGGTCTACGGGGGCTGTGAGCTTTCGCCGGAGAAACAGCGATGACTTCTGGTGTCTTTAACAGTGACTGTTCCTGCCCCTCTCCCGCAGAGCCCTCCCGCAGCCCAAGCAGGACCTGCGCTGGCTGAGAGTGCTGCAGGCGACCGAGCGGCACCTTCCCCCAAAATGATGGAAAACACGGTGTTTATGTCCTTTACGTTCTACAGCACGATCTTGATTTTAAAAATGTACGTCATTGCCATCATTACGGGACAAGTGAGACTCAGAAAGAAAGTAAGTTCCAGTTTCCTTTCTGGCTTTTTCTTTGGATTTCTGTGGGGTTTTTGTTGTTGTTGTTGTTTGTTTGCTTGGGTTTTTTCTTTTTTCCTTTTATTTTTATTTATTCCTGTAAAGGCCAACAAAGTTTTCCTGAAGCAAGCTGAGTTTTCCTTGACTTAGGTTGAAAGCAAAACATGTTTCAGAGCTGCAGCAGATAATTATCTCGCTTCTCTTTGGCTTTTTTAGTTTGTTTCTACCATCTGTAGCTTGTTGTTTGTAATTTCTGAAACCTAATATAAATAGTAATTTCAGATCTAAAATGCCATGCAGGTGAGCTGCTTCTGGAAAGAGAATGTTTATAGTTAATTTGCCATGTCTGAAAGAAAAGGGGGGGGGGAAGGGTTTAAGAACAAATCATTGCAATGTTTTTCTTTCTTGCAACATAGCAGAAAGCTTTCCTGCTTTTGGAGGCTGAACTGCTATGTGAATGTTCCAGGAGAGCAGAAAGTCGTGGGGAATAAAAGCAATAACTGGAAGAAATGGTTCCTGAACACGGGGGGAAATACAGGGAAGAGTGGGAGCTCTGGCTGCCACCAGGAGACGGGGTTAACTGCACCTTTTATCGCCTACAACCCAAATTGAACTTGTGGCAAAACTCAGCTGTCTGTAAAATCTGTTTCAAAGTATTTAAGAAGTTTCTGACTGCATCAATGAAATGGGAGGGAGGGATTTCTGCTGTCAGATAGAATACAGAGATGGATACTCCTGTGCTGTAGCATCTTTGTGAGGGGTGAATTGGCTTCTCCCTTTGTGTTTCTGAATGGGAACAGTCAGGGCTTGTTACAGGATTAAAGAAAGTGCCAGAGCTCTTTCCAGCTGCAAAGTGAAGCTGTCACATGTACCCAGGTCCCTGAGGAACACTTCTGAGCATAGGTGGGGAGCTCAGATAAATCATTTTTATTTGTAAGTTTATTAGTGTAGGATCTAATTTCCCCAGGGTTGCTTTCAATCACAAGGTATCACTGCCAAAAAGCCAGCCATGGAACACTCTATTCTCGGTAGGGTGAACTAATCTGCCAGTCCCAGTTATCTTTTGAATGCCACATTCAGTCTACACACTCTATGCCAGCGATGATCTCATCTGGCAAAGTCTCTTTTAAATGGGTTTCACTGGGAGAAGTGGACTGGGATGAGGCCAGAACTCTCTTGAAGCCTCCGTTTTGGGACCTGCTCAGTGGGCAGAGTTGGGATTCTCAGAGGATAAGGAAAACCCATCGGGAGGTGCAGGGTTTAACCCCCAGGACCGTGCACATGGAAGTGCAGTTACTCTTATCTTTGTGACAGGTGGTGAGAAATGAGCTGAAAGATCTCCTTGGGCAGGAGGAAATCCCCACCGGTCTTAAAGCTTCTACCTGTGAAGCTCCTGAAAACATTACGAGCACGTATATTTTGGGGACTCTCTCTTGCAGGCGTTTGCAAACCCGGAGGATGCTCTGCGCAATGGGGGGCTGCAGTACTACCGTGAGGACCCCGACGTGGAGCGGTGCCGCAGGTGAGTACGCACAGGTGCTGGCATTGCCCCTGCACCGCAGGGAAGGCCCTGGCAGCTGCTGGCAAAGAGGCAAAGAGGGAAGCTGAAGGGCTCATTAAGTAAGTAATTACCCAGATGGGTTGGATGCCTGGAGTGTGGTTTCAGGATCCTGTGCACTGGGGCAGCTTAATATTTAATGGCAGCGTGGTGTGCACTGGAGCAAGGACACATGGAAGGACCCAGGTTTGGGGTCTGACTCCGACACAGTTAAACTCCATCCCAGATGCTCAAAGTCCTGTGAGCCCCTGGGAGCTCGTCCCATACCCACACCCACCCTGCTCTGAAAAGACCCCAAACCCCTCCAGATCCCTGCACAGCTTGGATGGTACAGCCAGGCCATGACTGGGACATGCGTGACTGGTCCCAGTGCTGTATTCTGCCCTGTTTGGACATCTGGGAAGAGGCTGGGCATGATGGTGATAACTTTAATCTCCTTCATTGCCCAAATCCTGCATCAAGCATTCAGCCCTGGGCTTGCATTGCTGTCCCCCTTACCCAGAAGGTGCCCCAAGGGCTGGGTCACTGCATGGGCTGGTGACGTGCAGGAAAAGGGGCTGGAGCCATGCCCTGCTGTCACTGAGCCATCGGCTGCCAGGTCTGCTGCAGGCGGGGGACTGTGCTGTTTGCCTCTCGCTGCCTGCAAAATCTGCTTTAAAAAATACCCAGTGCTACCTAATCCCCAGGCTTCCAGAGGGAGGAGTAGGGGGAACAAGCTGTTCCCTTGCTAGGAAAAAGAAAATAGTTGTAATAATAATCATGATCCTCTTTTGATTAGTCAGAAAAGAGAAACTTTCATAAAAATAAATAACCAGAGCTGCAGCAAAGACCTGGGCAGTCAGATCTGACTTGTGCAGTTAACACACTCGGGGTCAGTCCTTGCTGATCTGCTCACAGCCAAATTAAACCCAAGATATTTCTGCTGAAAAAGGGGGATGTTGGGTTTTCCTCTCACATGTTACCAGGAGGGGAGCAGAGCCACAGCCAACAATTGAAGAAATCAGTGTTTGATGAGGCTGTTGCTATGGTGGACACAGGGACATCTCCTGCACCATAGACCTGACTCCAGGGGCAGGAGAGGGGGCTTAAACCACAACCGTCTCTCTTTTCCGAAGCCAGTTTTCAGTCAGGTCTATCCCAGCCTGTGTCTGCACTGATGAGCTGTGACCGAGCATCCTAAAACTTTCCGGCCACGTCTCAGCTGGCACAGAAGAGCAGCACAGGGATCCTGGCCTTTGCTTCAGGGAAAAAAAGTGCTTACAATTTTCTCTGGGCTTTGTGAACTTGTAAATGTCCAGGGGCACGGGAATGGGGAAGCAAGGGTGGTTCTTACCAAGGCTTCACCTCTGCCTCTCAAACCTTCAGATATAACAGGGGAAAAGCAACTGACCCTCGTGCCTGGGTCACTCTCCAGCCCAGATCTGTCCCCACTGACCAGAGCACAACCTGAGAGCCCCCATTGAAGCACAGGATGGGGCTCTGTGCTGCAGAAAGCAGCTTTTGCTTTGGGGAACCAAAGAAGGGGAGGCAGAGGCGGTGGGAGGGCGAGGACAGCCTGCTGCTTTGGGGACCAGTTTTCCTCCTTTGCAGGATGGTACTGGGGCAGGAGGGATATGGCCTGTGCTCATGGCATGATTGGATCCTGTGTCGGTAGCGGGGTGAGTGGTGGCAGGTGATGCTGTGACACCCAGGCAGGCGTGTGTCAATGTGTCATTGCAAGGCCACAGCAGTCACCCTGACCTGATGATGGTGCAATTAAGCAGGTGCTGCTGGCAGTGTGTGGGTGCTGGGGATGTTCAGGCTGCTCCTTCCCAGTCCCTTTTGGATGCACTTACGTAGAGGGGTGAAGCTGCAAACCCTCCCATCCTGGGAGTTTCTCCTCTGGAAGCCTCCCCATCATTGTGTAACGTGGCCACATCTGGGGCCAGGCCGCGCTGGCGCTGCACCAGCTTTCAGCTTTTCACAGCTTTGGAGGGTCTTTGTTTTGCTTTGTTTATTTAAAAGCTCCAACCCTCACGCTGTCATCTGTCGCAGCAAAGGTGTCGCAGTCACGGAGTGCAAGCTTTGGGAGCACAGCATCCCCAGGGAGATACACTGGGTGTTAAATCCCACTGCCTGCACATGATCTGACTCCTCTGGGGGCTGCATCTGCTCCATCTGATGGAGGAGAGGACCAGCTCCACCACAGCCTGGATGCTCTGTCCAGAAGGGATGGGAGATGGCAGGGAAGCCTGGTGGGAAGAAGCAACCTTATCTCCCTTTTCAGGGCCCACCGCAATGACATGGAGAACATCTTTCCCTTCCTCTTCCTTGGAGCCATCTACTCCCTGCTGGATCCCAGTCCCACAGTGGCCAGGATCCACTTCTTCATCTTCTGCGTGGGGCGCATCATCCACACCATTGCCTACCTCCTGCGGCTGAAGGCGCCCACTCGCTCCGTGGCCTACAGCGTGGCACAGCTGCCCTGCTTCTCCATGGCTCTGCAGATCCTCCTGGCCACCATCCCGTACTGGTAATGCCCAGCGAGAGCGACCATCTGAATCCCCTCGTCCTGCGCTCTGCTGGTTTCCCTGGCTGGACTGGGTGGTCTGTGTGCGAGTGTGAGTGTGCGTGTGTGTGTGTATGTGGTATATTGACAAGGAGGACATCTGCACTCCAAGGTTGCTCAGTGCAGCCTTGATAAAGTCCCCTTGCTGTTGGAATTGGGCAGGGAAGTCACCAGAGAGAAGGGGCACATCTGCCCGTGGAGCAAGAAGGGGATGCAGAGGCAGGCTTTTCTCAACCCTGCTAGAGGTGGAAGGGGAAAAGCCCCCTGACTGCCCCTCAAGGAAGGGGTTAATTAAAGGATAGTTTTTTCTGACCCAACTGCATTCGAAACTGGGAAAGGGAAGATGTACCCCTTCCCCTTGGTCACAAATATCCCATGAATCAGAAAGGGAAAGTCAAGAGGGTCCCATGAAGTCTCTTGGTTAGCAGACATGGGTGGAAGCAGAGGGGATTATAAAACAGCCACTCTTCTGCCCAGCCCTGTGGGTTTGTGGGGAAGGGGTGTCCCTTAGGTTCCCTCTCTAGTGGGGAACACAGGAGGCAGGTGCCTGCCAGGCAGCGTAACATGGGAGTTGAAATTCTGAGTGACACTGTGAAGCCACCGAAGTATTCAGTGCTCCCAGCACCACCTCATCCCACACCACGGGATGCAGCTCCCTGCTGAGGACCCTCGCTGCAGACAGGAGCCTGTCCCAGCCAGGACACCCCACGGATGGCGTTTGGGACCTTCTGGCCAGCAGCAGCCATGGCTTTTTCATCTCAGTCTCGCCGTGGCAGGATGCAGAGGGACAACAGGAATCGCTTACCCTGTAGAGAGCCAGACACAGAGCTCTGGGACCTCTGGAGATGCCGAGATGCTCACACCAAACAAGGGCTGTGCAGTTTTCAGACAGAACTTTCTCCCCAGGGTGGTATCTGCGCTCACATGCTGCTGATGCCTCAAAACGCTTCCAGGGCAGCAGACCTAATTTCTCCCGCTCTGTTTGTAGCCTTTCTCTGGCCGCAGAAAGGCTGTTGCTATTTGGGGAATGTGCCGTGACCGCTTTGGGGGTGTTTTCTTTCAGCTGTTTCCTGCTGTCCACTGCCACGAGCTGTGCACAGCCTGGGTTAGTGTTTGCAGAATGCTCTGGAAATGAGCAGAGCGGCTTTGAACCCCTCCACGGGAGAACATCGCTGCTCTGCAGTGTCGCCCGAAAGCCGTCGTGTTGGAGAGGCTGGGACCAGGGTGTTGCAGGATGACGAATCCCTGTGGGCTCCTCTGCCATGGCCCAAAATGCCAAGAGCTGGTCCAGGTGACAGCAGCATGAGATGGAGCACCCTGATGGAGAACAAGGCAGGAGGAAGGCTCTGCTGTTCAGTGTCTTTTCCTCTGAGGGCAATGCAGAGTTGTACTGAGATCACAGGGGGAGACCAGAATGAGCAGAAAATAAATTCCTCTTCCACCTGTCCTAAGCACTAAGGCTGTTCCCTTAACCCTGCTGCCATCAGAGATGCTGTTCCCTCACTGAGCAGCTGCGTGCACAAGGTGAAACGCCAGCTCAGACTGATGCTCTGAGCCCTTGCCTGGTTTGGGGAGCAGCTTCTGTACCAGTAACTCCTGACTCCAGTGCAGATGTGCCTTCGAGATGAGCTGTTTGGTGAGGTTTGGAGCAGGGGGCTGCAGGTCCCATCACGTGTGGGGAAGGTGGGCAGGACTTGTTTTTGGCCATTTCTCATTGATGCAGCCTCGACAGATGTCTGGCTAACACAGACCTCTCTTCACAAGCCTTTTCTGCCTCACATGGTGCACAAGGTCCTGAACCCCTGTACATTTCACTGCTGCTGCACATGCATCCTGGTGGCAGGAAGCAAATATTCCCAATAAAAACAAATCATTGTGCTCTGATACATCCTTCCTTCGGGAGCAGCAGATGCAGCTGGGTAGCAGCTGGGTCCAGGCCCAACAGGGAT